GGCGCCCCCCCCCCCCGGGCACGACTCTGGATAAAACACTGACAAGTTACCATTTTTCGAATAACTTTTGATAGGAACGAGATAGAGAGCTGCGGTTTTCACCATTCGAAAGAGCGATGTCTAGACAATTGATTGGTATAGAACTCAATAAGACGAAAGATGTTTTTTTTTAATAGATACCTTTGGACCAACACTTTTTCCTTTGAGTATTTTCACAATAATCTAGACTGAAATTATGTCAAAATGTAGCTGAAATCACCCTCTTTTTACTATAAAATTATCGATTCTAAACGGATTTTAAAAAAACAAATGTTAATTTTCTAGCGAAAAAAACAATTGATTTTAGCTACATTTTGATATAATTTGCGTCTAGATTATTGTGAAAGTACTCAAAGGAAAAAAAGTGTTGATACAAAGGTATCTATTTTAAAAAAAAAGCATCTTTCGTCTTAATGAGTTCTATACCAATCAATGGTCCAGACATCGCTCTTTCGACTGGTGAAAACTGCAGCTCTCTATCTCGTTCCTATCAAAAATTATTCGAAAAATGGTAACCTACTTTATATTTTGAATCGGATAATAGTATCTATAGGCAAAAAAAGGAAGAAGACCTCTGATGAAGTTCTATCGTAAATGTTTCAAATGCATCTCAGCTAAGTAGTCAACAGACACTTTCGTATGTATTTTAGAATGGTACACTCACTTAAATAATAGTTGAGCATAATACGACAGATGTTATCAGCCTATTCTCTACGAGACTCTTCATTAGAACATATGTAGAAGATGAGGGATTTCATCTAATATTGTGTGCTTATAACAATATGAATCAAATTGATAGAAGTCAGTGCGAATTCCAGGTGGTCGTGCCAAGATTAATTAATCTTCTTCTTTTTTTTTTCTTGTGAAACACAATCTAAAAGAAATATTGAATAATGGAGATAAAAATTTGAACTCCCTACAGATCTTGAGAAATAACTTACGAAGGAAGTTCTTTAACTAAAAAATCTCTTTTGAGTCAAAACTATGTGCATCATAAATATGCAAATGAACTATGATTACTCTGAAAAAAGGTCATTACTGCAGTAATACAATATTTTTTAACTTAATGCCTTTAGCTCTCATCTGGGGAATATCGGCAAAAGCTTATTTTTTTAATTTCAATTTGAAACTTTCCATAAAGATAGATCTAGTTTATTATCAAAGTTTTAGATTTGTTTCTCTCCTGAAATAAGAAGATCGGTTTACATGCTCAATACACATATTATTACCATAGTTGTATCTTAAGATTAGAAACAATGACAAGATCTGAAACATTCACAAAAAAAAACCTAGGTCTGTCTATATACAAAGTTTCAAATTAAAAACAAAATATCGTATTGCTGCAGTAATACTGCAATAATAAACTAAAAGAATGGACTCTTTTTCTTTTTTTAGAGTAATATATGAACATAAATTAACATCTTGTTCTAATATATGAACTACTTTCATATTACATTTCTGAAGAAGGATGACAAAGAAATATTTTCTTAAAATAGATATATATATATATATAACATTTTAATTCTACAAGAATTATACTAATATTTTTTTCTTTAAAGATATTTTTAGAAAAATTTTTAAATTATTTTTATCAATTAAATCAAAATCATAATTGTAAAACATATATAAAATTAATTAAACGTATATTACCATGGGGATTTATTAGTATTCATAAATGGTTTAAAAATTGTTTACTTTCAACAATAAATCAAAAACAAACAATTTTAAAAAGATCTTATGAATTTAATTCAAATTTATCATTAACATTTCTTTGGTATATAACAAATTGGTTAGTTTCTAATAAAGTTTTTCTTAATGAATATGATCCAATAAAAATCTATGAAAAAATTTTACATCAAGAATTTATTACAAATATCTATGATTCTGATAAACATGGATATTCAATAATTACACTATGTCAATTAACATATTATATTGATGGACCATTTCTTATTATGTTTTATTGTGATGATGAAAGAATTTTTGCTATTTTATTAGAAGGAAAACTTATGGATTCATCTAAATCATGTAGGTCGAAAATTTTAATAATAAGAATTATTATATAGAGATATACGAGTAAATTATTTTTGTATATGTTTAATCTATCATCAATCCTAATCATCTCGATATACAACCACTCATTCGAATCTAGGTCTCAATATTTATTAATTGAGTTTCTGTCAATGAAAATTCGAATAAAAAAAGCTTTCATTGGATCTAATGCGTTCTACAAGACACTCGATATTAGTCTAAATTTCTCTATTCCGTATCCGATTCCAAAGTGATATTCGATATGCAACAACCAATTACAATATGATATTTGATATCAGAATTTTTTAGTATAACTAACAGTTGTTATTTGATCTTAACATGATATACGATAATGTATAGTAACGATAGAAATAGAAATTAAACAGTTTGAATATTATTGATTACTTCTAGAAAATTTCAAAAAGATTATTATATGAAATAAGATCATAGAGTTTACGTGACAATCGAATACAAAAAAAAATATCTAGAATTTACATTAGATATAGATTTTTTTAATAATTCATCAAAAAGAAAACAAACAAACAAAAATACTCGAGATATTTTTATTCTTCTTAGATGGTGGTCGATCATCTCTTTGTTTACAATTATCTCCTCAATTTATTATACTCGAACGTGGTCCATCAATGCTCTATTGGAATATTAAAAATCGTTCTGATGGTCCATTAGGTATTCGTATAGGACATAATGGTATAATACGAGTATCAATCGATCTTAATATGGAATATATTTATCATCCGGAAGGTTCTAGTTCAATAAATCGAATAGAAATATATAAATTTGGTTTATATAAAACATCTATATCAAATTCTACTATTCAACGTCAATCATTAATTCCTAAACAACACAATGAATACAATGTATTCAGTGTTGATGCTCATAAACTAGCGGAATCCATCGGTATACATTTGTTTACTTAAAATAAGAAAAACAAGATGAAAATAGGAAAAAAAAAATATTTATTTCTATATGCAAAAAAAAAAACTAAAAATATTTATTTGATCACAAAAAAATAAAACCAGGAATAAAAATATAAAAATGAAATATCACAAATATATATATTTATATTTCATTTACTTTTTTCTATTGTTTTCTTTTCGTATTAATTATTCATTTGTTTCGCTGTTTGTATTGCAGCATTAATACGAAATTGAAGACGAGATTCAAGTTGATAATTTTTATAATCATTTCTAAATCGAAAAATAATATAATAAGATTTATTTAAGAAAAAAAAAAAAAAAAAACATTAACTTACAATGATTTCTGTAAATATTCCATTGCTTTTTGTTTTTGTTTTAAACTAAGATAAATCAATCCTTTTTCTAATACAGCATTTGCTGCCAAAAAAGATTTTGTATCAAATCTTTTTGCTCTAAAAAATCAATTTTGTTTTTTTTTTTTTAAAAAAAGAAATCTTTCGTTAAAATAAACTAACAAATAAATTATTTCATCAAATGCTTCATGTGCTTCATCGTATCGACAAAGAAAATGAAGAAGAACACCACGAAGTAATAATCCAGAACCGTAACTATCAATATAGAATCGATCATCTGTAAGAAAAACAAAAAAAGAAGATATAACTATTGACAAAAAGAATAATAATCAAATCATTTTACTTGAATGATGAAGTACTAAATCATTTAAAGCATTATTGACAATATCAAATGTTGCATTTAATCTCTTAGAATCATGAGCAAGAATATAGAAACCATTCATAAGATAGAGCAATTCCTACAACAAATTAACAATGGTTCATTTCCCGATCTTATATTAAAAAACTTTTTTCTTCTGAGAAAGAGAGAAAAAAAAATGTAAATATGTTTTTTTCGCTTATTCATATAAATATATCGAAATTTATTCGAAAATATTTTAAAATAGATATCGCTAGTTACCAATCCTGGTAAAAATAACCATTTTTGAACAAGAAAATGTTCACATTGTTTAATTGCATATTTTTCTAATGGAATTGATTTACCCGCAAGACGAATTTTTAATTCTGGTACTCGTCTAAAATAAATAATTACTTATTATAATCATTCAATATAGTAAAAAACTAAAAAAAATTAAATTCTAACTTATATAATCTGACAACTTCATCTGTTGCTATTCCATTGTTATCTTCAAAAATAAATGTTGATAATAAATAACAATAAGTTGCTTTACTCCAATTATTTTGATCTAAAAGTGTTTGAGCCATAATAGATGCTTCTTTCCACTGTCGTTGAAGTCTTTTTATAATAAATGAAATTCTATTGTTTTATATTATCAAAAAAATTCTTACACACGACACCATAATAATTCCCAATATGCAAGCTATGAATATATATTATTTTTCTATTAATAATTTCTATTTTATAAATTCTTACATGATGAAGATCTTTCCAATCATTTTGACAATACATTGCATATTCATATGTATTAATTCCCTTAATGAAAAAAATAAACAAAAAAAAAAAATCATTGTTTTTATTTCTTTTCTAATAAAATTAAATTACTTCATCAAGTCGACAATGAATTGTTTGAAGTCTTGCTCGAAAGAAAAGGAAAAAGTAGGACTAAAAAATAAGAAAAAAAAAAACAAAGGCATCTATCATTATTCCATTTGAAATTTGAGATTGACTTTATTATTTTAACTTTTATATTTAACATCGAATAAAGAAGAACAAAAATCAAGGCAAATCATACATCCATAAATATGATATACACATACGTCAAAATTTTAGATCCTATCTCAAACAATTGTCATCTACGAAATTGTACGATACCACCCACTAGATTTTTCAAATTTCTTGATTTGACAAAAATAATTTGATTTTTGTTTCATACAAAAAAAAAATGCTCAATACCATCAAAATATGATCATATATAGTCTTCAATCAACATATATATACTATATATATACAATAATTCTCAATGCTCTTTTCCTCAAAATATCATTGCAGTAATCGGATACGAGTGTGGATTGAAATCTGATACGACTTCACCCTCTCTCTCTCTCTCTCTCTCTCTCTCTCTGCCTCTAACCAAAGTTAATGAAGATGCTCCCTTTTTCTTCTTTTTTTTTCTATTCAAAAACAGAAGGGGTAAAGGAAATGTTCATCTATCTCTTTTTTCTATGTCTCGCGTTCTTTTTCTTACATATACATACGAAATCGATCTGTGATTCCTTTGATAAAGTGTAAAAAATCAAAGGTAATCCGAGTATAATTCAATATAGAAAGCATATAGAGAATAAGAAAAAAAAAAAAAAAAAAAGAAAAATAATAATAACCATCAATAGCAGTCTAATCTAAGAATACGATGACCAATAACCACTACTACTGGACTTCATCGAATAGAGATGAATATAAAGAGTAATTCGATAGGACGACATAGCGAACGTGAGGAAGAAATCAGATATCGACACCAACGCTGCTGAAATCTAATTCCATTCTGATCTCTCTCTCTCTCTCTCTTCTCTTTTTTCTCTTGTCTCATTTATGTTACTGCTGCTTGACAGATAGACAACGACGAGAAACAAAAAAAAAAAAAGAAAATCAAACTGTTTCAACCATGAAAACAAATGTACAAGTCAAAGATGAACCTGTTGAATTACAAGTTAATGAATTACTTCGTTTATATGGTTATAATTTAACAAATCAATCATCAATAAAAACATCTCGAACAAAATCAATTGTTAATCAAGAACAAGAACGTAGATTAAATCTATATAAAAAAAAATTAAACTTAAGTTTTATTTTCTTTTTTGATAGCATCAACATGTGCTTGGTGTCAAAAATTAGGTATACGTTCATTTACATTACGTACTGATAATGATGATTCGAAAACATTATGTAGTGAAGTATGTTTTAATCAATATCGTCGTGCATCATTTAAAAAGAATAAAGTTAGAATAAAAAAAAAAAAAAAAAAAAAAAAACTAAACAAATTTATTTATTTTCTAGGGTTCTGAATCTGATATTGATCATAATACATTACCAATTATATCAACAATAAAAAATAAAATAGAATTCAATAATAATAATAATAATAAGGTGATAATAATACGAAATTTGAGCATAGTTGAATAAATTAGATTCAGAAAAGTCTATCAAAAATTGAAATATACTAAAAGTATTAAGCCTCGATAGTTTTAATCAAAGACTTTCCTCAATATTCAAGACTAATTTTCATTAAATTTCGACCTTAGATGAAGTTATAGGTCAAAATATTCGAAAATAACAGTGAAGAGGTGTGTAAGAAGAGAAATTTGTTTTGACTATTGCGCACACTATTTAATGTAGTGTATGTATTTCAATTTTTTTTTATAAACTTTTCTGAATCTAATCTATTCTCAACTATGGAAACAAAATATTTTGTTCAAATTTCGAATTACCAACGCTTTAAAAAAAACAAATTTTTTTTTTTCTTTAAAAATACTTTAGTCTTTCGATAAGAAAAATGGAACTAATAATAAATATGAGCATCAATTAAATGATACAAATCGACGAAAATTATTATTACCACTTCGTCGTCCAACACCAACAATATCAAAAACAAAAACGAATAGTATTACTCGAAAATTATCATCATCATCTCCATTATCAAAACGTCATCGATCATCTTCTTCTTCATCATCATCAATTTCTCCTTCAAATGGAAAAGTTCATCGTATTGATCAAACAACAACAACAACATCAACATCATTAGTTCCTTCTAAACTACCTGTTAGTCTTACTTGGCAACCTTCACTTGTTTTACCATCGAATATTTCTTGGCCACCTCCAGTCGATATCAACCGTTTTCAATATCCATTTTTTGCTCCTCCTCCTCCTCCCCCTCCTCCTGCTCCTTTACTACCACCTCCACCACCACCGCTACCATTACCTATCACATCATCATCATCATCATCATCGTCATCAAATTTATTTACAACATTAACAAAAGGAACATTATCAAATTTTACTTGTATTCTACCAACCTTTATCCCATTACCTATTCCAATACCAATTCCACTTTGTTTTCCTATACAACTACCTCATACAAAATGTTCAATTAAAGTCAATAATCAACAATGTCAAACATTATTTGAAGATAATATACATCAAAAATTAATACGAAGACTATCGATTTAAATATTAAATAAATATTCTAACATTGTTCTAATATCTTTGTTTTCTTTTTTTCTTTTTCTTCTTTTTAATACATCTATGATATGTAATACTTACATTAGGATATACTGATAGAAAACGTTCAACTAACATATTACACGTTTCAAAATCACCATCAGCATTACCTGAAAAAGAAAAAACAAAGAGACATTTTTCTTTTTTCGATTATTCTCTTATTTGATAAAATAAAATTTACCAAATAATTGTGTAACAAATGTATGATAACTAAGAAGAAGTAAAGCTGAAAATAAAGCACGTAATCCACTGCTAGTAGCACTTTTTTTAAGCTCGTTAAGACCAACTTCCTAGAGCAAAATTTCTTCATTTTTTTAAAATAATAATAGAAAAATAAATATAAACTTACTCGATTGCCTGAAAATCCAGCAAATTCAAGATATCTAATTATACGTTGTGGTAAACTTGAAATCATCTAAATATTTACAGAATTTAAAATAAAAGAATGTATTTGTTTCTTTTTTTTTCATATACCAAATTAAATGCACCATTACCAAGTCGAACTCCACTATCAAAATGTTCATAAGATAAACTTGAAGAAAATCTGGATGGATCGTTTTGTTTTGATAATTTTCTATTAAAGAGAATTGTAAAGAAAAAAACAAACAAAGGAAATTTATTTAAAAATAATTTTGTTTTTTTTTTTGTTTTTGAAATTTACAAAAATACATCATGACATTCTTTTATTTTTAATGCACCACTTATAAAACTAAATAAACTTTGATCTTGAATAAATGTTAATAAAGCTCGAATGAGTAATGCTTCAGCATAGACTAATTTAGCATGTAATTCATCTAAAGTAAATTTTATTTTTTTTTTCTAATAATATAATATTTCAAATAAAATTTACATTCAGTCATGACTGATTTAGCTGAAAGATTAAATGGTATCCATGGTCGATATGGTTCATATGTTTTAGTCATATTACTAGTATGTCGTAATGCTTGAATTGCTGTTTCAATATCATTCTATTTGCAAGATATAAAATTTTCATAAAAGCTAATAATTATTTTTTTTTGTTTTGTCTTACGTGATTAAATGTCATTGCTGCATGCATAAAACTTATTATACTATGACATAGACCATGATAGAAAGATCGATTTTCTCTAATAAAAAGAAAGAAAAGTACATTCCAATATGAATTATGTGATATACTCTGCTTTTGTTCTTATAAGTGCTTCATTAAGATGATTTTCAAAAAAAAGTTTTGTAATTTCTTGACATTCATTGAACATTTGATATAAATCAATTGATGACATTTCATGTTGTTTTAATGATGATCGTCTTCTATGATTTAAAATAAAATAAATTATAAGATTATATATTAAATGATATATGATTATTAAACAAACCTATTAGAATTTTTTTCATTATGATCATTGTCAAAGCATTCTACAGCATCTTCAAAAATCTAAAAATAAAGTCTCTTGTTTTTTTTTTTTTTTATCGGATGTCAATATTATTACAAAAAAGAAAAGAATTTTTTGTTTTATTTCCTCTCCAAGGTGATAGTTATGTGTATTTTTAATTTTCTTGTTTTTTGACGTATAGACTTTTAAACTCTAAAAGTTAGAAAGAATGATTTTTTCTTTCTTTTGGTTCCTATAGACATAGTATTTATAGCAAAAAGAAGCCTATGAAAATCATTGAAGTTTTTTTTTTGTTTTGTTTTTGTGTAAAAATAAATTTAGAAAAAAAATAAAAAACAACATCAAATGATTATGAACAATACTACCTCACTTGTTTCATCTTCGTCTAGATGAGATTGTGGAAAATTACGTAATGATTGAGTTGTTGATAATTCTGAATTTGATGAAAATCTATTATGAGTATTCGTCAAATTAAGTGATAAATGATGTGTATTTTGATCTGATGTTGATGGTATATGATTGGTAGAATTTGAATGAATTATACTGTTTGTAACTTTTAATGGATGTGTACCATAAAAAAAATAGCTATTAGTAAGTCTATTTGTCGTAGACGTATTATTTGATGATGATAATGAGTTCATAATACCAATAGAAAGATCAATTCATCTGGAAGTATCACAACATTAAAATCACTGATTTTTTTTTCCAAAATATTTTTATCACGAAACTTTTTGTGTTGTTTTTTTTTACTTCTCATTTTTCTCTTGGTTTGTCGTTTTCTCTCTCTCTCTCTCTCTCTCTGTATTCACATAAAATAAAATGTTTTCAAATGCCTACAGCCTTTTTCTTTTTCTTTTTTTTTTTTATCTTGTGATAATCGCAAAAAAATAAATTCTGCAAGTGATCGATAATTATATATATATGTATATGAGCTGCATAGTTACCGTTATAAGGTGACTTGTTTTTGAATCAATATAAATTGTGGTTCTTTAAGAAATGCTTAAGTTTATTATGATTCTGTGTTTTTTTTTCTCATTCTCTGTGACACATGTTTGTTTTCTGGATATAAGAAAAGAAAACGAGAGAAAAAAAAAATAGGAAGTAAGAAAAAAAAACCCTGTGAGAAAGATTTCCTTTTTAATTTTTTTTTTTTTTTTTACAATTTACCTGCTCGTTTTTTTTTTATTTCAAAACATACATTATTATAGCATGTGACAATGAATGAGATCTTGTTTTTTTGTTTTTTATTGTCTTTCTAATTTTCTTCGTACAAAAAAAACAACTTTCTCGTTTCTTTTTATGAATACCGACAAAATCTCTTTAAATAATATGATCATATGAGAGTGTTATTAAAGCAGAAATTGTCTCTTCAAAAAAAAATGAATGAAGATACAGAAACATGATAGAAAAAGGATGAATTGATAGACTTCAATTTACAATGAAGTGCGTGTTTTGTCGTTTTTCTATCCGAAAATAAAGAGACAAAAGCAAAAAGATGTAAAAAAAAAATCGAGAAAAAAATGTATGATAGATCAAGCTTTTGTATTATTATTATTACTACGACTAATATTTTTCGAAGAGAAACAAGAAAAATAAGTAGATTTAAGTCATGACAAAAAGGAAGTATGGTACCATACACGTTAATGATATTAGTGTCAAGGAATATATGTTAACTTACTTTTTGTTTTTCTATTTTATTTGACTGTCGTATTAATATAAAATCATCTGACTGACAACTGTAATAATGATTAGAATGACAATCATATCCAGTGTAAATTCATGTGTATATGTTATCATCTGATATTATTTATATTTCAAAGTTTAGAATAAACGATAAATTTCAAACAAAAAAATCTCGCATTTGTTTGTAAAATACTTTTCAATTTGTTGTATATTCATAATGAATATGTTAAATAAGTTTTATAAAATCAATAAAAACAAAAATCTCGAGATCATGTATGATTCATACATTGACAAATATTTACATGCAAAATGTATAAGTTACATATAAATGTTAAAGTGTTATTTGTGTATATCTGATATGACAACAAAGAACATTGACATATGTATGTAACGAGTATTTTATAATACACATGCTATTGTATGAAAGAATTTAAATGTTTTTCTTTCTTATGAATAAACTCAATTCATGGGAAATATTTCTTCACGTTTTATAATTATTAGCATATATGCACACGCATACCTAATTGTCAGGTCTCATATGATTACTATATCTTACAGTTTTAATTGCATTTTTGATGGAAATTCATGATCAAATTGTGAAAAAGTATGTGTACTCAAATTTTATTTCTAGAAAAAAAACCTCTTGAGTATTTGTATATGTTCCTGATGTACACTTTGTTTTTTAACTATTGATATGCGAGAGTTCTCTACAAAAACATTCGTATGGGATAATATTGAGTACGTACGTACACGAACTTTCGTGTATGTAAATGTGAAGATAGTATAGTTTCTAACATGTTCATGAAAAAATCTCATGTACATCTACACTTAATATTGTCGTGAGATGATCCATATTTTTCAAAACTTTCGCATTTGCCTGGAATCTGTACATGATAATCCTTGTTTTTCTTTCATTCTCTCTTGTGGTGCATCAACATACACTTATCCTGAGGCATAATCATGTGCTCACAGCTGTTGAAGTTTTTCTTTTTCGAAAATTAATCATATAACAGCTTTAAATAGTCTTGTTGACGTCATGAGACAATCTAGAACAATATCATAAGAATTTTTTATCAAAAAAAAAAAAACAGATATTAAGATTGTTCTCTTTTTTTTTCATATGAGATTAACAAAATAAGGAGCTAACATTTGATATGTCATTTTCACTTGATATATTCTCTTTTGTCTAATTTAACAAAAAAAAAATATGTTTAATGAGATATTAATGAATCTTGTGATTGACATAAATCTTTTCGAGTTATTTATTTGACCTTGTCAATGATGCATTTCTTATCATCAATATGTTTTATATAAACATCAATAATAAGAAATAAAAGCTGACAAAATATTAAATAATTATAGGATATAAATATTGAAAACAAATAAGTATCTATGAAATAACAATATGTAGAATTAATGATATACAAAAAAAAAGTTTTGATAACACACCAGACTCTTTGACCCTGAAATGTAAAATTCACATATGTCATTTAGCCTTATTAAACTAATACAAAATAGGTGAAGTAAAAAATCCATTATAGCCTATAGTTCTATTATTTATTTGCATCGTTTCTATTCACTCGTTATTTTTTCATTTTCACAGTTTGTTTTTACAGGAATATGTCTTACACATACTATTATATATATGTTGGAGTAGAAATTAAAATTCAGTAGAATTTAAAATTCTACTAGTAGAGATTAAAATTTCAATTTCTACTAGGAGAAATCGAAATAACAGGCGATTTTAAGTTACACTAGTAGAAGTTAAAATTTTAATTTCTACTATAGGAGAATTTTAAATTCTACTAGAAACTTATACTATAAAATTATGCAAATTTCTCCTAGAATAGAAAATAAAATTAACTCGTAGGTGATCACTAGATTATTTGATTTAATGCCAAAATCCACTTGTAATTCACTAATAGTAACTAATTTAACGTGTTTATTGATTTAGAATTTAAACTGAGCTTCACTCTAACCATCTTTTATTACCAATATGATGCTATTGTAACCAATTTGTGTGATAAGCAGTTTAAAAGAAATCTTTTTCTAAAGATTATATATGCTTATCAAATTTCGAATAAAATGGTTCTATTTTATATCATATTGAAGTGTTTTTTCTTTTGATACTGACGCGAGGAGTTCAAATTAAATATCTAAAATCTTTTTTTTTCTTTTCGTTCGACATATTGCATAATTAGAATAAGTATTAATTTTATTTTCTATTCTAGGGGAAATTCGCATAATTTTATAGTATAAGTTTCTAGTAGAATTTAAAATTCTCCTATAGTAGAAATTAAAATTTTAACTTCTACTAGTGCAACTTAAAATCGCCTGTTATTTCGATTTCTCCTAGTAGAAATTGAAATTTTAATCTCTACTAGTAGAATTTTAATTTCTACTCCAACATATATATATATATCGATTAACTAACAAATTGATCAATTCACATTTTTTATGTTGATTAAATGACAAGTGTGACATGGGAGGGAAGAGAGCTGCAAAACTTCCACTAACCTATATAAGAAGCAAATTGCATGTTCAAAATACGAATGAGTAAATATTTCAATAAATATTTAATTAATATCATTCATTTGAGACTTAAAATGATTATTTGTTTGAAGATGTTATGATCTTTAAAACTATTTGGACAAAAAATGATAGATATTTTTTGTTTTTTTTTGTAGAGTTACATCTTCGAAATAAACAAATATTTTTCAGAGGTAATCTTATAGACATGTTTTTGAGATCTACAATAATTTGAGAATGTTGGCGTAGATTTTCTCTTCATACACACGCTCAAAATAGATATTTTATAGAAAAAATAACATATCACATTTCTTATGAATTACTAAGGTAACAAGCGAATTAAACAAAAAAAAATTATTTTGTTATTCTTCTGTCTTTATTTTACTGTTGAATGGTATAACAAATATAAAGGGAATGGTAGATAGTAGAAATGGAATCGATTCAGGTTTTTCAAAATTTAAATCGAACCGAAACTAAGATCTGTTTAAAAAGCTACGAACCAAACCGATCCTATCTCTGGTGGATAGTATCCTCTATCGTAATGTATATCATACGAAGATAATTTAATGTACATACAAGAAAAACTTCTTTTTTGTGTTTTTCTCAACATACATCATTCTAGAGATAGATATATGCATAGAAATGAATTTTCTAATTAGCTGTCAATACTAGCTAAAATCCAGAGTTTTTTCAGAAAATCATGCTTAGAAATTCAAGAATTTTGAAGTTTTGATGATCCAACAGGCTGATACAGAGTAGAACTTTAAAAAAATTCTTGCTCTCATTCAAAGTGGTCAGGAGTTCTCCTTTAAATGCAAACAACATGAACTCTGCAGCTTGATTCGTGGAAATCTCCTGAACGGTTACATATGAAGGCGTGAAAAATCTTTTTTTTATTAATGTATTTAAATAAGCCGAACATCTATGTAAAGTTTCATCAATATCTAACAATTTGTCAAACGTTTCTTTTTTTAAAACTTTCCTTTTGGAATATTTTTTGGAAATCAGACAAGTCAATAATTTTTCATTTGTTTGATTATTTAGATAAAAATTATATGGTGCAAAGTCTAGTGAAAACGATGGATTCGACATTATAGTTAGAGATGTAAGCCGAACGACTACAAACATTTTTTAAAACCTCAGCTGCCACTGTCAACGTTAAGAAGACTCAGCCGCGCCATCGCTTAAAACTAAAAAAAGTTAACGATTTCTAATCACCGCCAGCAACTAGCTAAACCTCTCAAGCTACAGCCGCCTTGCACAAAAAAACATTTTTCTTTTTTCAGTCGCTACCGCCGATCAACTCATCGGTTCACATTTCTAGTTGTAGTGATTGATTTAGTTCTTTATATTATTTATTAATTCTAATACTTATCTCATAAGATTATATTCGATTGTCATTTGACAAGAATTGAAATATTTTCATAATCTGATGTTCGATTCATAATTTATATGTACCCTTATTTTCTATGAACTGAATAAAAATTTTACAAAGAATTATATATAAAGTGTTATACTCATTTATAAGTATATTATGACAGAAATTTGTATACAAAAAAAATATATTTATAAAAAAAAAAAGAAAGAAAAGAAAAGCTAGAAGTCAAATTAATGTTCACTCGATTCTTTGTAGTCGTTGTTGATGAGGAATGATTCGAAATGTTCGTTTTCTATGTGATGAATGTTGTTCATAGGATGGAAATTGATGACTATGTTGATGTTGTAATTGAGATCGATTTGAATGGAATTGACGTCGATGAATAGGATGAGAATGTTCATTTGAATGATGACTATTCGTATGATGAACAATATTATGCATTGTTTTTGGTCGAGATATATGTCGATGAGGATGACCTGATGAATTCTTAAATTACAAAAAATAATTATAATTAAAATAATTGAATAATTAATTGTATTTACATGAAATGTACGTCGATGTCGTGATATATGATTTGATGATTTACTCATATTTTCAATAATAATTCTTGATTGAATATTATGAAAATTTTTTTGTAATTGTCGTTTTAATGATGAAATAAAATTTGATATTCGATGTACTGTTGAAACTATTGCAGGTATTGTACAATGATGAATATGTTGTTGATAATTTACTGAATATATATCATCATCATCATCATCATCACCATCATTGAAACTAGTCCTTTGATAAACGGGTAATTCATCATATTTTTCAAGTTCATCACGAATTTTTGAAGTAACAAATGAATGTTTTATTGGTTTAATATGTTTTTTTTTATTTTCATTTATTGAAGAATTATTTTTTGTTTTTATTAAATCAAGTTTTTTATTTCTTGCTCGAATATAAGCTTCTCGAAGTGCTGTTATTCGATTTGATCTATGATGATCATCATTTGAACGTTCAATAATATCATGAATAAATTCTACATCAGTCTTATCTAAACCTAAAGCAATACTAGGAAAATGTCGATTTAATGATGAATTTTTAATAGGTATTTCATGAGAAATTGTTTCAGAAAGAATAGTTTTATTATCATTTACTAAAGTTGAGCGTGATGATGATGATGATGATGATGATGATTTTCGACGACGTCGAAGAAAAAAATCTTCAAATGTATCATGTCGATAAAGTTCTTCTTCATCTAAATTGGTTATTTCATTCTAAAAAATTATTCTTTTTTTTTGTTAATATTAATCAAATAAAAAAATAGATAAATAGAATTACCTGTTTATCGGATTCATCATTTTCTAATATAGAATGTGTTTGTGTTATTAAATCTTCTTCATTATAATTTTCAGTTGGATACCATGCAAAAATTTGATCTTGTAATATTTTATGAAATTCCATTGGATTTTCACATAGATCTTTTTCTATATAAATACTATTTAGTGATTGATTATCGGAATATATTGATTGTTGAATTTCATTATATAATTGATTTGAAACAGATTTCATTTGTCGATTTTTATGTATTGAACGTTTCCATTGATCGTCAGTAATTATTGGATGATGAAGAGGAATATTAGAATTTGAGACTTGTTGTTGTTTTATTATATTAGAATTTTGATTGGCATAAAATGGTCTTGTACTATGTCGTTTAGAACGATGCATTATTTGTTGTTGATGAAATGATGAAGGAATTTTTGTACGATATAAAACACTTTTATCACGACAACTCGGGGCCAAATTGACTTCAAGTTTTTTAACTATCTAAATATGTTGAATAGATTAACATTCTTTATATACTATTTTAAATGTCGTTTTTTCTTTTCTATTGAACCTTTTTATCAAGGTGATTAAGCTCACTTGTGTAGTATTAGTATTTGAATTTGTTTCAATGTCAACGTGTTCTTTTTTCAAAGAATCTATTGAAGAACAATGTTTTTTTTCTTTTTGATCATTTTTTCTTGATAATATTGTATGTATTGAATTAATTGATTGTTGTTGTTGTTGTAGATTTATATAGTTATGTGAAGATGAACATGAATTAATATTATCTATTGATGATTTTTGATATAATAATAATTTATTAAGTTTGAAAGGATTTATAGATGATAATAATTTTGGACATAATTTAATATTTTCATAAATTTGATTATTATTATTATTATTATTTTTGTCTATTATGTCTAGATTTATTTCTATTTCTGTATTAGATAGACTTGTCATTGATGTTGCATTCTCTAATATTGTTTCATTTGATATATATGTTGATTTTATTTGTGATTTAGAAATATTGGCATAGGTATTATTTTGAAAATCATCTGAAGTTTGTATTGAATGATCAATATTATCATGATTTTGAATAGAAATATACGGGTAAGTATTAATATTTGTTTTTGATGATAATAATTGAGATGAATTTTGGTATTTCTTATAATTTGAAATAGAAGTATTTGCATAGGATGGTATATCAACATTTGATGATAATAATGGAAAGTTTTTAGAATTATTAATGTTTTTGGAATAATATTTTAAACCCATACGTTTTTTTGTTGTTAATGTTTTAGTGAATATATATTAGATACTGATCTATTTTATGTATGTTAGTATATAGTCTACACATTTGTTCAAGTCAAATTAGTAAATATGTTCTCGTTTGTTTATTAAACATTAGAAACGAATGAACAAATTTATACTATTGTTGACATAATAAGATATATATATATAAATAAGTGTAGACTATTCTAATCTCATACTGATGATAGAAGAAATAAGAACAAAGAAAACAAAAGTTGTCTGTTGTGCTTTTTTTTTTCTTCTCTATTAGAAATGATGAATATATCTTAGAAACAGGTATTAAACATGTTGTAAGAACAAAAATAAAATCAAACCAAATCATAGATAAATATGACTAATATTTACATCTTGTTTCTGAGTCACACTATAGAAAATAGTTGTATACAGTGACTTCTAAAATTTATTCGATTAGGTTTATTTTCAAATTCTCTGCTTTTGCTACTATCGTAAGCTCTAATAAGAATCTTCAAATGAAAAATAATAATTGCTAATTTTCTTAAGAAAGAGCATCAGAAATATGCGAAATTCAAGTATTTCAACTCCCTATGATTCGCTGATATTGATTATTTTTCAAATTTTTTTTATGCTGATCATATGATAACTGTAGCAAATTAGTACATCACTACCGATTATCGTTGACATCTTGAATATAAATTTTTATCCGAGTAAAAATCAAAAACTGTATTATTTAGTCATTAATGCCTTTGAGTATTGTTTTTCGTTGCTAAAGAACTCTTGGAAAGGAATCTAATGTCGATTATCCTACTATGAAATTGTTTTTCGTAGTTCTAATCATATATTTGATAGGAAAATAAAATTATGTTAGTTCAAATAGAAATGTAAATAATGTTTATATATACTCGAATGACAAGATATGCGACGAGAAGTTGAAGAACAATGTCAAGGATATTGTTTATTGTTACAATTTTGAGTTATACAATGATCTCTCATCTTTTTACCGATCAATTTTATTTTTGCAAGATGCTTTATATATGTAAACCATATTTATTTATCACTAATTTTAAATTATCAGTCTTCATTTATAACTGAAAGATTTCTTTGGTAGTTTCTTATGAATTAAATTAACTGTTTTGTGAAATATGATTTAAAATGAGTGTTGAAGTATAGGGAAAACATTTGGACTCTCTCTCATGGGTCGTGACAGATGTTATTGATGTACGAGCAAAGACGACAGCTTTTCTTTTTGTCCACTCAGTTGAAAATATCCTGAAGGTGTACTAGTCGTTATTGTACAACAAAAAGATAAAGTTCTTCAATTTTTTTTAGAATGTGAGAATGAAACTGTCGCACCAATTTTCGATGATTTAATATTCTATGGTATTTTTTTAACATAGGGATAAGAGCTATCCTGGGTGTGGGTGTTCATAATTCTCTGCATCCCTACACTTACCCACGCCCTTAACAGTTGAACTCTATCAGTCAATGTTGCACATTGAATATACAGCTCTCGCTGTCCGATGGATATCATGTCCATTATTATTTGGTAGCAGAGACCTTCATTGACAAAATTTGTGGTAATTTGGTTAAATCCCATACGGTTGAAGTGCTCTGTTATAATCAACCAAAATATCGGTTTACTAGAAACAGAAAAATCAATGAGTATTTTTCAGTGACAAATGATTTTCGATTTCTATAAAATCAATGCATGAAACTCGTCACAGCACTCATAATTCCAGTATAAACAATTACGAAATAATCAGTTTATACTATTCATTACTTTTGCACGAAGTTTAGTCCGTTCAATAAAATGTCTCCGAAAGTAAATCTAAGTGAAACGATAGTACAGCCATAGTTAGACATGTCATCTCTGTTGTAGGGAAGTGTTGACACATGAATAACATTAACTTGATTGTAGAGAATTGATCTTGAAAAAGATTAATTCAAGTGTCGATTGTCGTAGACAATTAGTGATCATTTAGCGATAGTAAATTAGAAGTTCAAGATTCGCGAGCTTTCTCAAAATTTCTTGCTTTTCAATTATGCAAAACAACGAATGTTTTGAAAAATTTTATTAAAATTTCTAATTTAAATTCAAAAAAAAAAAGAACGTAGAAAGAAACTTCGGTCTGTATTACCAATAAGTATTGTCTATATCAAATGAATGAAAGTCTCTTCATAGAAATTCGATTTTATATTAAAGACGTTGATATTTAACTTGAATAGAAGTTTCCACTTGTTCGCCTTCAGATTCAACGTTTGTTTTATTGTTCTCGGTAACAATGCGTGTTTTATTTTTTGAAAGCCATTTTCTAAATTCATAACTTGTAGCACAAACAAACTTTCTTGATGTTTCTTTTTGTTCTATATAATTACGAATATCAGTTGCATTTTCTTCATCATTCATCTCACTTAACATATTCATTGCTTTTGTATATGATTCTAAAGCAAGTTGATCACTATTATTGGCTAATGTATAAACATCACCCAGTTCAACGTATAATAATGCTAGCCAACGATGTTGATCAAAAAATGAGTAAAATTTAAATAAAGTTATTGCCATATTTAAAGTTTTAATTGCATTGTCAAAATTATTTAAAGCTAGATGAACCATTGACAAACAGATCAATGTATTATTATATGCTAAATAGTAAATACTGTTCAAACCCGTCTTATAAATATAATCAATTTTATATATATATGGAATGGCTAATAGAGGTCTACCAGTAAAAAGATAACACCAAGCTAAATCATTGTAGAGTATTGCAATAATTTCTAAAAATATGCGATGATTGTTGAGAACATCAAATACTGCTTGTCGAACAGCGGTATCTTTTTCTTCATAGTAATGAAAATACCAACCAATTCCATCATTATTAACAGGTTGACCTTGACAACAAGGAGAACCTTGTTTTGTGAATTCCATGACTATTTCCCAAAGATCAGACATAGTCATTATGGTTATTGTTTTTATTGGATGTCCTTCTTTTTCTATTGTACGTGTAAAGGTTACTGAATCTTTTAATCGTTGTTGAAGTTTGTTTAGAACTTTTTTCTCAAGTACGTTAATAGCCTGCTGAAAATATTCGATTGCTTGATGATAATTTCGTTCACGATAACATAAAGCACCTGATCGAATGTATACGAAAGCTTCAAGAAGAACATCAAACGATGATTGTTGTATATTTGCTTTTCTTAAATAATGTCGAGCTTTACGAAGCATTTTTTTAGATGTCGTCATATCTTCAGTATGAATTGCGCATTCACTAATAGCTGAGTACGTTGTAGCAAAAAGAAACATATTTCGTTTGCTTCTTTTTGTTGCCTTTATTTCCGTTATTGCTCGTTTAAAATGTTTTTCTAATGCCATAATAAAATCATTATCATGCATAGCCATAATACCTGTCATATGCCATTCAATGAATGTATTATATTTTTTGCTATTTATTTTAATATCATCATCATCGCCGTCAGAATCTGTTCTATAATCGATTGGACAGTAAAGTTGAATGGTTCCTTTTCTTTTTGGATACATGGATTTTTGACGTTGTAAAAATTCATTTAAATAAATGATACTAGTTTGTAAATCAAATTTAGTAAAAAAAAGCATGGCGATGATTTGTTCCAAAATAAGTCCTAATGGTTCTTCTTTATTATTAAAAACATGACATAAATAATCGACCATTTTCTCAGGATTCATTTTTTCTCGAGAGATTTGAGCAATTGCTTTCAATTCATCGAATGTTGGAAGCCTATTGTAGACAACAAATGTTTATCATATTAGTCAATCACATTTTCCGACAATATTCTGTTCGACTTCATTAGGTATTAGAGACTGTGGATATCAGTATGATTGGACGTGAATATTGATCTTTTCTTCTCATACTCATATCCACACCTTGAAACTATCCTGACTCCGACAATCAAAGGAATGTAAGGCCAAAAACTTTTTGTATTCGTAACTAAGCACGCTCATCATATATGCATAAAGTTTCTGTTCAATCATGTGTCATAGCTTGAAGATCCTATGGATGGAGGGGCCTTGGAACATGATCTTTCGTTCCATACTTTTCGATTATAAGCAAAATATATTTGGCATATATTCCAGAACAAGACAAATATAATCAAAATAAATCAACTCATGTCGTCGATTTTTCATCAAGACTGACGATTCGAACGGTTTTCTTATTGTTTACCAATCTTTTTAAATTTCACTGCTAAATTATTATTTTCAATCTTGAAAAAAAATCGATTGCAAGTCAAAAAAAAAAGTCCATATTAACCTCTTGAATACCACTGTCTTCAGGTTGAAGACAAGTAGAACTCAAAAATTTTTCTTTTTGTTCTGTCGTATCGATAAACAACTATGAAATGAAATGTTCATTAATACGATTGTATCAATCTACGCTTTATATACGATAGAATATACATGTATACAGCTGATTCACGAAGATAGAACGCAAGAGAGTGATTTTTCGATTTTTCTATAAGGTCTTGTCTACACTGGAAAATTTAATACCGCATTAGGGAACTTGATTGATCGAAAAGTTAATTCCGATTTAATACACTTTTCAGAGGCGAATTAAATTTAATGCACCAATTGAGAAAGACTGCGATCCACTAATCAAAATGATGAACGAACCTCGATAAAATCGCTTTATATTATCGATGAATAGATGTTTTTCAATACGATGAACTATAAGGATTAATGCGGAAGACAAATGACAGCGTTTTCTTCGTGAACACGTGCTAGAATTATGCACTTCGACTACATTATAGTGGCCATTTTTCAGTTCTGACCGATGCATTAAATTCATAAGTGTATATCCAGGTTGACGATTACGGACTTCGTGTACGCCTGTAAACGACCGTTTACATGGTCTAATATTACGGTCGTATATCGCCATGACCGTATACGGACTCCATATACGAATATCGTAAATGACCGTTTCTTTCTCCGTATATGACGCGGAGATATACGGCCGTAATACTGAATTATATAAACCGTCGTATTTCTCTGTATATGGCCGTTTACGACCGTGCTTGTTTGACCTGGGGATCTAATTCGAAATTAACACCGAATTACTTTTCTAGTGTATACAAGGCCTATGATCGTAAAGAACGCAAGAATTGTCGGTATCCAGGAGATTATTACGCCACAATAGTTTATATCAAATGACATCACTAATTTTTCTATTGACTAAGTCATCTAATGCATAGCTTTTTTTGTGGAGCCATCTTTAATAAAAAAAATCAAACTTGAAAACTAAGCGAATTTAGCTGATGTGGCTAGTATCGGTGGCTTCAGCGCACTCTCATTTAGAGGGAGACGCAATTTCGACTAAAATCTAACAATTTTGTAAGAGTTAAAAAATATTCATACGGTATGATGCACAAAAAACCTATGCAGAAGAACTGCCAGTTTTTGAGAGGTTTGAACGATATGGGAACCCCTTACGGATAAAGTTAATATTCTGTTATTGCAACAATCTGGAAAAAATAATATCAGAAGTAAATCATGTTAGATGACTTATTAAAACCAAGACTCTAGTTAACATTGTAATAAAAAGAGGATTTTAACAAGTCGATATCATTTTATAGAATATAAACGGATTGCTTATTTTGACAAAAAAAGCTACTGACTTACCATTCGGGCAATGGCTGAAATTGTCGATTTTCATAACATAGACGAGCTTTGTTAGCATAACAAACAGCTAATTCATGGCGTTTGTTACAACGACACATTCGCATAAGAAATGTATAGATATGAAAACGTTTTGTAATATTATTTTCATCTGTTCGTGTAAGGACATTTTCAAAAAATTTGATCGCTTTATCACAATCATCAGAAGATTCTGGATTTAAATTAAGATAAGCAACATTGAAATCAGGATCTTCTAGATCAAGTTCCACTCGAGCGTTGTTCAATGTTATTGATCGTCTGTTCCATGATATTGTAGCAATATCATCAGTAGCTTCACAGGAAATAAACCATAGTTGATTGTCATCGTCAAATTTAACAAAATTGATTCGAAATGTAGTACCTAAGTCAAATAGGACTTCTTCTTTGTTAATGGCAGTCATCTGGGAAATGTCAACGTATACCACATTGCTAGATTCGTGAACTTGAATGTGAAACATAGCATTAGAAGCAAACGTTTTTGCCACATCAAACGAGCGTGTAGCTGATAGAAATCCATTTGCTGAAACGACATTTCCTACATTTGCTTTTAATTGATCTAGATTTTCTGAAGTCAAATGAGTACCAAGGTAAAACAAAAGACTTCCATTTTGTGGCGTAGAATTCTTCTTTTCTTGCCAAATGCTGCACAAATTAGCAGATAGATCTGCAATAAAATATCGAAGCTGAAGAAAACCATCAATATTTTCTGTACGTAGTATATAATTTGTAATGCGATAAACAAATGTGTTTTTTATATACCAGTGAATTGCGTCTAAGGAATTGTAGGTTTTGTTGAACTCTTCAATACTTTGAAGTTGAGCAGCATTGTCCCGATAAATAATACGACAGAATTTTAGCATATCCCATTTCTCCTGGAATTCATTGCTGTATTTTTCAAAATCTGGCATTGGACCATCGTAAGCAGCTATATGAAATAAATAATTACTATTCTGTTTTCCCGTAAGAATGCTGCTTAGAAGCACTTGTTCTTTTCTACGATTATATATTTCGTTGGAAGCAAATTTTGCTTTGAAAACAAGGACTTAATAATTTGTTTATATCCTCCGTCGAATTGGTGTGGATCAAGGATATAGTATTTATTCCCTTGGAATGTAAGTTGTACGGAAGAGATACATTTCTACCTCTTTTTGAAGTATAACTGGCACTTTTTTAAAAAGCTTTGGTTAAATAAAAAAAGTCAGATTTTTTTAGTTTATTAAATCTTCTTTCGAATGCTTAGAAATTTCTACCAAATTAATGACATAAATCAAAACGTTACTTGCTCAGAAATATTATTCGGGTGATTCCCTATAAAGAAAGACTTTTCTTGGTTCTTGAGGCCAACGTTTATGTAACTACTTATATTGTTATACGAAAGCACTTTCCAATAATGCAATCATACTTAAAGTCATTTGAAAAGTTTTGATCGACTGAATAAAATTCTTCCCTAAGTAGACCTGTAGCAGCTTACAGGTCTTAAGAACTGGTTGTTTTTTTTAGAACTAGGTCCAGTAACCGGTTCTTTTCATAGGAACTCAGTATACTGATAATGGTAATGGAGCAATTCTATTCAGTACTTGTTTCATTTGCCAAAAAAGCCAGTGATTTTCAGTATCAGTTCTTTTTTGAAAGAACTGGGTGATGGACACCGGTTCAGTTCTTTGATCGGAAACTGTCACAGATCTATTCCTAAGATTAATGATCCTATATTATTACTAGTGGCGGAGCTAAAACAGTGGCGACTTGCTAGCGGTGAGGGAGCAGTAGAAGATGGTGCCACTGCTTTTTCGCCTTTAACTTTTTAACTAAATGTGATGAAAACCTGAAATTTTTTATAAGATATAGGACATGTTAGGGCTAAATTATGACACAAATTTCAGGTCTTCATAATACTTAGTTAAAAAGTTAAAAGCAAAAAATGCATGACGACACTTTCCACTTCTCCCCCATCACTAGCGAGTGGCCACTGTTCTAGTTCTGCCAGTAACTATTACAAAAATTTCGAATCACATCGCTTGGCAGAAGAAAACTTTTTGTGACGCAACTGAACCCTTCCAAGAGATATACTAAAAGCAGTTTTGACTTTGAAGACAGAGAAAGGCGACTATATGACTTTGACCCAAGAACGGAATGTGTGTAGGTTTATAGAATCAAGGATTCCCTATCTAATGTTATATATACTATCAAGTTCTATGGTGTGCCGTTGAGATATCAATAGAGGGCACCGCCACCTTCGTTGCGAACACATCAGAATGCATCGAAAGTAGCGCCCTCTATTGATATCTCAACAGTACGCGATCGTACTTGATAGTACTTACACTGTTAGATAGAGAATGTTTTCTTCTACAAATCTAAACATATCCTGTTCTGGGATCAAAAGTAATCACGAAACTTATAGTCGCCTTTGCAGTATGCCAGAGATGTCCATCGGGGCTGAAAATCTGCCGCTGCCGCGCCGCGACGGTTTATAAAAAAATGTCGCCGCGGCGCTGCCGCGCCGCGATGGTCTATAAAAAAATGTCGCCGCGGCGCTACCGCGCCGCGACGAGTAATAAACTTGCCACTGCCGCACCGCTGCCGCGATGGTTTTCAAAAAAGTGTTTCGAATTTCACTACAGCAACTATATGGGACCAGAAATATTGGTACTAGTTCCTCATATTCATTCAGTCTCAGAGTGTTTCCTTTGTAAACAATGAAATTCTATCAAATTCATGCAGTTTTCCAATGTCCTCGAAAAAAATTCTGTCGCTGTCGCCCCACTGCCGCGATGAATTTTTAAAAACTTTGCCGCTGCCGCGTCACTGCCGCGATGAGTTTTTGAGAAACCTGCCGCTGCCGCGTCACTGCCGCGATGAATTTTTGAGAAACCTGCCGCGGCCGCGGCGCGGCGGCGGCGCGATGGACATCTCTGCAGTATGCCACTTTGTCTGCATGTAATACGTTAAACACTCTTAAAATATCATTACTAGTATAACCTGAGAATAATACATATTCAAACCAAGGCATTTGCAAATCAAAACGTATTTTTTAAAGAAGACTTTTATAAATCTTTCTACGCCTTCTCATTAAACAAACCTGCTAGTTATATGACACTGTAAGCTCTACAATGACTGCAAAATGTCAGAAACGAAAAATCTGAAACGTTCGAGTCGAGAAAGGGAGATTTCTTGAATAAGTTCAAACAATATGAGAGATATAACTGATGAAAATATGGAAGAACTACGTAATATGAATAAATTTCAATACTAACTTACGTTCTTGCACGTCACTCGTATCAGTTTCTTCACTATTTCGATTAAAAATTCTGTTATCAACCCAATCCAATTGTTGCCAATATCGAACTTGGATGTTTCGAATAGTAATGATGACATCTCTCAATATTCTGTACCACAAAAATCTTGGTGTTAATACTTGTATAGGCCTTGAATTTTCGTATTGATGATATTCCTTAATTTCATCACTATTATGTATAAAATTCACGTATGTCTCCCACATGCTTTTAAGCAAACTTTCATCATCTTGAAACGTACCAATGATCTTGTCTTTTTCTCTCATTGTAATGTCACATATATCGGATAGACTTTTTTCAGACATCAAAAAAATAGCACGTACGATAGGACTATTCACATGCTGTAAAAGTGTTTCTAATTCTGTGCTAGACAACGTTGGCAGATCAGATACCAGAACGAAAAGATTATGTTTCCTGTTTAAATTCAATAAACCATGTTCAAATAATACTTCAAGAGTAGCAGCTACTGAATCACAGTATAAAATATGATCAAAAATATCTTCTAATGATTCACGTAGTTGTACATTTTGTTGATTACCACCAAGCCATACAAGTGTAATATTCATGCAAGATGAAGAATCAAATCCTGTGTTAACTTCTGGTAACATTGATTTACTAAATCTTTTCGTCCATAGCTCATATTCATATTCACGAAGAGTTGTAAAGCAATCCATGATAACAGAAAAAAAAACAACAAAAAAATAGATATATGGTTTGTATTACAAACGATTTTGTTGTGCGTAGATGTGCATGGATGAGTCTATACAACAAAAAAAAAAGAACAGAAAAAAAGCCTTCAGTGAGTGTTTGAGCAAATAATCAGTGTCGACCTTCATTACAGTTATTTCAAGGTATCTTACGTTTTGTGTTCTAGCACATCTTTAATCACTAGTAAGACCGAGTTATGAGTCATTCTTCAATTTGAGAATCAAATCAAAAGTATTAAGATAGCTAGTACGACGAATTTAGCTCCTGTCTAAGAGTGAATTACTGAGAAAAGTAGCCACTGTAGAACATTGATGATAAAATAATATGTGACATTTATTGAATTTTTAAAAATCTTTATAGAGGGCAGTGAGCTACGTATTTTTTGCAATTTTTAGCTTAATTAGATTAATCTTTAAAGCATATTCCTCGAAATACGGAAGGTTCTTTCTTCAAGGATAATTCGATTTCTGACGATTCTAGATGTCAATTTATGAATGATTTAAAGCTAAATTAAATGGATTAATCACTGAATACAAGATCGTACTAATTTGCAGATTTTTGTTCATTATATTCAACAAACATTATCAAAGTTTTCAATAATCTATTTACCAATTGAACTCTAGTTGAAACATATCGATGACATGATAGAAAACAACTGATTTGCTATTGATAAGGATTGTTATTGATTTTTTCATGAATTGAAAATCCGAATTTACTAACTAAAAAGTTCGAAAAATATCAATAAGAAAATTAGTTGAATATATCGAATTTTCCATTTGTTTATCGAATGAATGATAAGAATCGATTATGAGAATTCATGTCAATAATTTGTAATATTTGAATCGAATCAAAGCAAATCTGACAACAAACCTTGTCGTTAGTATCCTTCAACGAATGAACAATAAATTTAATCAAATATTTTTTTCTCATTATTCTACGAAGACTTATTTTCTAGTCTGCATAAACAATTTAGAATGATCATAAAATAAAATTGGTAAAGTTTTGTTTACTTAGTTAATTATTCGTCTTTGTTTGAATTGTTTCATAGATATAACTTGAAAAAATTATTTTATGAATAAGAAAATGGATTAATAAGGTCCTAAGCCGATGATTTCGGTCTCCGGATCTCGCTAAAAACGACCAGTTTTCAGTAAATCCCGGCTGGTTCTCATGAGTTTCATCTCGAAAAATTACCGTAACAGAATCGAACTCTTTCGAATATTTCCCGCCATCGAAAGAATCAAGGAACCATACCAGATCTGGAAGGAATCAAGAGGAACTCGCCGGAAACAAACTAGGAATAAGTCGTATCTACTCAGAACGAGATCAGAATATAATCGTGTTTCCATGGAAAAATAGAAGAAATAAACCGTATCCGGAAAAGATATGTGATAAGAAGAAAATGTTTAAAAGCTTTTTTTGATTACAATAATATTTTGAGTGATAGGAGTCGCTTAATATGAAGTTTTATCTTTAGATAGAGTGATTAAACACTTTCCTACTGAAAGCTCTTACTATTAATTCACAATTACTTTTGCTCAAAATCTTTGATAGAAAAATGGTTTCAAAGGTTTTTTTATAGGGGATTCACAACTTTCACGGAAGGGGCAGGTCATTTATCTCTGACAGAGAGAGAGAGAGAATAATATCAAAAGCATTTTTTCATATGAGTAGATGATCAGGAGTGAAAGAATGATTTAGAATATGGCTGACGAATATCAAAGTTTTTTCTTATGTAACTAGGTATTATACAGGGTATCCCAAAAGTCCTTACGGAAAAGAAACTCGTGCAATAGCACTATTTATCAAAATTAATCAGTTTTTTTTTCTGATGATAGATGTCACTGTGAAGTTGTGATTGATAGGGACGAACTTCACAACTACTGTTCAATGTTACTACTTTTGACTGAAATACAAAAATCAGTCGTTTTTCGATTTCCAAAAAAAATCACTACATTAGCGTTTCTCTTTTCATGTTCCAGTTTTCCATGTTATTTCTGAAATTTAGATCGATCAGATCTTGTGCTATCATTCACATACATTTGTTTCGATATGTCACTAT